GCAGCACTATTTACAATAGCCAAGACATGGAAACAGCCTAAATGTTGGCCTTTTTTTAACATATAGACAGACGTGCTAAACTTTCCACAGTAAAATCTTTTTCTTTGCCTCTGTGGTTTCTTCTGTTATCCTTGTGCTTTTGAAGCACTTCCCCAGAGGTAGGTCAGTTAATGTTCATTCATGTTTTCTTGAATTTTTATGATTTGAAGACTTGCATTTTAACTGTTTATTCTGTCCCAGCTGTATTGGTATATGATGTGTGTAACAAGTCCAGATTCTTGGATAATAAGGCCCCTACTGTTGTATGTCATGACACACTAAGCAAATGAAAGAATAGTGTGTCAAACTGTCATCCTCCCTTTCAAAGAAAACAATATGTATGTTATCACAAGTATGGGGAAAATACGCTCTTGGATTACTGGTGTGTGGTACAAGAAATTACACAGAACAGATGAACATTTATGGAAATAGAAAGCTTAGGAAAAGCTCCACGTCTCAGATTAAAGCAAAACATAATGGTAAAAATGACAGATCAACATCTCAAAAACTACAAAAGAGTTTTCAGACATCTTTTAGAGTAAATCAAATGTCCACTGAAGGCAAAAGTAAAGGAAAGGAAGCAGCATGAATAGTGACGTGTTACAGAACATGTTCGGCTTCTCCAGAAGAGATGAGTGCAGATTGAGAGAGCGGCACCACTTTACGGTAATTGAATGAGCAAACATAAAGAAAAGCGATAAACCCCAAAGCTGACACAGTTAGGGGAAAGTGGTTTTATATTCTGTTTCCGTCCTCATGGAGGGCTTTCTGACATTTTATGAGCTGTAGAAATGCCTGGTATTTCTTCTCAGGGGACTTTCTCCTGAAAAAAATAATTCAGAAGAAGAAAAGAACTCACATGTAGAATAATGTTTATAGTGTCATTTTATATTAAATTTAAAAAGATAATAATGGGAATGATAAACTTTTGGACAACTGAAAAATGAGGAAAATATATCAAAATTTATCTTCATATATTCCCTTCTGGTTATTTTCCCCTGAAATTGTTTTTTTTTAACAGTTAATATCACAGGATACATGTCATTTTGTATATTTAGCTGTGTTGATTGTAGTAGTAAAGAGCTGAAAACAACTTCAATGTCCAGTAGTAAGAAAAATTGCTGATTTTACAGAGTATGACCTTGCTGGAATAATGTGCTACTATCCCAAGTAATCACGTTGAAGTGTCTGTAAGTACGAGAAACAGTGGAAGCAGAAAACCATACAGTGAGAAAAACAAACTAAAATTATACACATGCAGTCCTTCCAACTACATTAAAACAACGGGTGCATAGGATCCTGAATCAGATGAGACCATAGAGGAAGAACAGTAAATGTGTTTAGGTGAAAATACTCTGGATGTGACTGGGGGCAGGGGATGGGTCAAGTTTGGGTTTATTTTGATTGATGATACATTCACAGAGCAGAATTCATAGGGCTTGGTGATTGACTGGAAGTAGGGCCAAGGATTGAAAAGAGTCAAGAGTTTTGACTTTTTGCTCTGTTCTTTTTGTTTTGCTTGTTTGTCAGTTTTGTTCTGAATTATTCAGAACCCCATTCAGTGCTCGAGCCATTCCTGTTAGTCATGTAATCTCAGTGTAATAAAGGTCCCAGCGGGATGAACTTCTTCATTTAGGTGCTGTGTATGTTGCCTCTTTGTAAAGTAGGATATCGTGGGCACCGAGGAAGGGCCGGTGAATCAGTTACATGATTTAGTCAGCAGTGATTTATTGACTATCCTGTGTGTAGTGAATCAGGTCTAGTCCCTACACTCATCAGCGTGTGTGTGCAGTCGGCACAGCTTTTGAAAGGACAGCTTTGTTCCGTGGCCATCAGTGGGTGGGGTAGAGTGGAAAGAATGAGAATTTAGTTCAGCCTTTGGCTTTGCCACCACCTGACTGCCTCCCATGAACCTGTGTGAATGTCTTGTTTACTGTTACTCACTTTCCTCATCTGTAAAACAGTGTGATACTTCAAATACATTTGTTGTGAAAGCACTTAGGAAGAAAAACTGTACAGTTTGCAAAGGGACTGTAATTTTATTATGTGGCTTATAGGTGAAATAATTTAGAAGAAAACACCAATGATGCTTGGCACGTAGTAGATGCTTAGTAAAGATTCATGAAAGGAGAGACACAGTAAGAATTCAGAGAATCAGACTGAAGGGGACAATATCAGCTTTGCTTAACTTCAGATTGTCTTGCAGTCTCTATTCTTTTTGGAAATTCAGATTCAACTTATGTCTGTTACCCCCTACAGGCAGGGCTCTGGGTGATGCAGAGATGAATCAGTACTGCAGTATCCGTTAACCCTGCAGCATCTGCAGTATCGTGCAGCTTCTTAGGAAGTTGAGGCTATGAAGTAAAAATTAGAAATGTTTGATGAGAGTTTAGGGAAAGCAAGGAGATTATTTCAACGTAGGGACCCCTCACTTCTGATGGAGGGGAGCAAGAGGGAAAGCTTCAAAGAAAGTGCTTAATCAAGCTGAGATTAAAGACCAAGTAGGACCAAGGATGCTGGGAGGGAGAGGAAGGGCCTTTCAAGGGGCTTAGAGGTTGGGAAGTATGGGGCATTTTAGGGGGAAGAGCGGATGTGAGCAGGAAGTAGTCACACTGTTATGGCTGTTACCTGATGAAATTAATTAGGAGGCTTTTTATGTTTTTTACAGCCCCCTCCGGCACAGTCGATGGTTCAGGCGTTGGAGTTACTCTATGCTTTGGGAGGTACACCATCTCTTATTATGTGTTTCCTTATCTGTTTGTTACTATGTGATATTAGACAGGCTGTATTCACCCGAGGGCTCTTAGTATCTTCAGGGGTGGGATTGGTTCTCCCCATGTATATAATCCTCTTCCTGACAAATGAGCTTATAGAAATGAGGTGGGGCCATGATTAGATCATAGAGTCCAGTAGTGACAATGAATTTACAAAGCACGTCAATACAGCAAAAGCTGTTAATTACCCTGACCGCAGCTACACTCCTAAGAGACATCCACAAGATTCTCTACCAGTATTTCAGGTGTGACCTCTCTGGACCTTTTTCTCTGTCCCTCCACCCAACTCTGAAACCTGGCTCAGCGTTCCCTGCCTAACCCCTCTTCCTCCCGTTCCTGGAGTTCACTGTGGAGAACTGGGTGGAAGACTAGCCCGTGGTAGTGTTGGGGCAAGGAAACACCGTATAGCAGAGGAACTTCTATTCTCTTGTTTGAAAATGTGGTATTTCTCTTAAGATAGAGAAATCTGTGGCCTAAATGCACCTCTTCAGGAAGTATGTGTCTTTTCCGTGAATGTGGCCTCGGTGAATATAATGTCTTTTTCTGTTGTTTGTAACATCTTTATGAGGTATAATTCATATACCATACAGTTCAGCCATTTAAAGTGTACAATTCAGCGTTCTTTAGTATATTCACAGGGTTGTGCCCATCGCTACAAGTTTAGAACACTTTCATCACCCCAAAAAGAAACCCTGAACCATTACACTCACTCCCCGTCCCCTCTCCTCTCCTGCCCCCAGCCTAGGCAACTGCTGATCTGCTTTCTGTCTGTGTAGATTTGCCTATTCTGGACATTTCAGATAAATGGAATCACATAATGTGTGGTCTTTTTGAGTGGCTTCTTTCATTCAGCGTGTTTTCAAGATTTATCTATGTTGTAGCTTCATTTCTTTTTACTGCTGAATAATATTCCATAGTGTCAATATACCACGTTATTCTTACCCATTTATCAGTTGATGGACACCTGGGTTGTCTCCCCTTTTTGACTCATATAAATAATGCTGCTGTAAGTATCCGTGTGCAGGTTTCTGGTGGACGTTCCTACCAGCATGTACGACGGTTCCAGTTTCCCCACACAGTAACAGGTCGCCAGTGCTTGTTATCTGTCTTTTCTACGGAAGCCATCCTTGGGGATATGACGTGGTATCTCGTGGTTTTGATTTGTATTTCCCTAATGACTGTTGATGTTGAGCACTTTGTCATATGCTTATTGGCCATTTGTGTATCATCTTTGGAGAAGTGTCTATTCAAATCCTTTGCCCATTTTTACTTGGGATGTTGTCTTTTTATTATTGAGTTGAAGGAGTTCTGTATATATTTTGGATACATGTTTCTTATCAGATTTGTGATTTGTAAATACTTCTCCCATTTTGTGGGCTGGCTTTTCACTTCCTTGATGGTGTTGTTTGTAACACAAAAGTTTTAACTTTTTACATAATTCAATTTGTGTATTTTTTCTTTTGTTGCTTGTGCTTTTGTTGTCTTTATCTAAGAAATCATTGCCTAATCCTTGGGCATGAAGAGCTCTCTTAGATTTTCCTTGAAGAGTTGCTATAGTTTTAGCTCTTACATTTAGTAGGTCTGGGATCCATTTTGAATTAATTTTTTTTATGTACGGTGAGGTAGAGGTCCTTCTTCATTCATTATATTTATGGTACTGTCCTGTGAAGGGATGGCCAGTTATTGATTTAAAAAATCTTCAGTGATTTAAGGGGCCTTTGGGGTCTACATCAAGTCAGCCCAGGGTGAGCGTGTGCCACAGTGGGTTTCCATCCCCCGTTTTCAAGCATGTAATCAGAACTTGAAAGCACTATTTCTTGAGATAATCTGCAATGAGCATTACAGAACATTGACTACACAAAGGTTTTTCATTTGGACTGATTTTCCCCAAACGAATGAAATTTAAAATATTTTTAATTTTTCACTGCCCTGAATAAGCTGGAAAAGCTAGAGGGAAACACCCAACTTAATTTATTAGCTGAATTATCACCTTTTAAGAGATGATATCGGGACCAAAGAGAAGTGGCCTTTTCTGTTTTACTCTGAGCTCTGCAGCATGTGTTTTAATGGGAACAGTTTAAACCACAGTAAAACAGCAGTCTGTATCTTGGGAATCCAATACCTGGGAATTGGCTGATGGTAAAGAGGCAAGGAGGGACTTGGGGAATTGAAGGAGTCAGCCCCGTTCAGCAAACTGCCCAGGAGGTGACTGGATAAGCAGCCCTGGTTCTGGCACCAAAGAGCCAGCTGGGCACGTGTTTACGCATGTCAGAAGCTCGACCCGGAAAGAGGTCCAGAGTGACGGGGAGAGAGGAGCAAGAGAGGTGGCAGAGAAGCAGGAGAGTGGGGATCACGGAACCCGGGGAGGAGTGCTTCCAGGGAGCTGTGGTCAAAGGCTGCTGGAGACCCCAAGGAAAGTGCCTTTTGTGTTTGGCACTATCTGGTTGCTGAGCCCTTTGAAAAGAGCAGTCTCTGGGGGTAAGCAGCCCAGGAGAGGGTGGGAGCAGGAGGAGGCTGCGGGGCCATTTCCTTATAATCAAGTCCTTGAATAGAAGCCATTAGAAGTATCAGTTTTGCAAAACTGAATATTCAACAGCTCTGAGGAGACCTTTTCTTGTATTCTTAAAGCACTTGGGGTCAGATTGAGGTTGGGAGTGCGTGATTCATCTGTTGGATACCTTTTTTTTTAGCATTCGTCATCTTTTATTCTCTCAACAACTGTACATCTTCAACACAGCAGTACATGCCTTCTGATTTTTGCTGTTGTTCTTACGGCAGGTCTGGACAAAGACTGTCACCTAACTGAACCGCTTGGCATGAGAATAGCAGAGTTTCCTTTGAATCCCATGTTTGCAAAAATGCTGCTTGAATCAGGTAGGTGGAGACCAGCAGTTCTCATTGACTTTTATTTGGTCAGGGGAGTTGTTTCTCAAATTCAGTGCTCCCAGGGAAGAGGGCATGATACAGTTCAAGGGGTGAAGGAGCTTTCATCTAAAGCTGTCTGGTTGGGGGCATGTTGCCAACTTGTGATTCAGTATCAGTGTCATTCATTAATTCAGTAAACACTTTTGTTTCCGATGATGTAAGGAAAATAACAGAAAATGTCGTTTACTTCTCTTTGACGCATTGTATGTTTGAAATCAAACATGCTTTTTGTTTTATAGGAAATTTTGGCTGTTCTCAGGAAATTCTAAGCATTGCAGCCATGATGCAGATCCAGAATGTCTTTGTGGTCCCCTCAAACCAGAAGTCTCAGGCTGTGAGTCCGACTCCTCCCCCTAGCTGTTCACATGAGTCTCGAGTCTCGTTCATCTTGGGCTTTCCTTCGTTAAACTACCCAGGGACTGCTCGGGACGGAGCAGCTTACACTCTGAGTGTTAACTGTGTGCCTGACACTGTGCCACACATTTTACCTGCATCACTTCATTTTGTCTTCACTGTAGACCTGGGAGGTAGGTTCTACTATAATCATTTTTAGAGGTGGAGGCACAGAAAGGTTAGGTAACTTATTCATGGCTGCATAGCTGAAATTGGTTAGAGTTGCCTTTCACAGTCCAGAAGCCCTAAATCATCTTAACCATTGTCCTGCTGACTTTCCCATAAGATAGGTTTTTTTGTTTTGTTTTGTTTTGTTTTTAACTAAGGCTGCTCTGGGAGTGACCCTGGTGGGCACATTAGTGACGTAAGGAGTCAGTGCCCGGCACAGTCAGGTTGCTGACAGGGCCCTACCAAAGGTCCAGGCATCAGTAACGACCCAAAGAGCGAACCCTGGAAAGACTGAACCCCGGGGAGGTGAGGCGTCCTGATGGAAGGAGGCCCAAGATGAGCCCAGAGTTGGTTCCTGCTGGAAGGGTCAGGGAAGCAGAAGCAGAAGGTGAATGAGCAGGGAGGAGAGAGACTTTCTTACCGACTGTTAGCATCTTTCCTGACAGCTATATGACTAGAGGTTACAGAGTTTTTGTGTTGTTTGTTTGCTTTTCCATTAGCCTTTTTAATAGTCCTCCCTCAGGACAGGCAAACTGATGAGGAAGGTGAAGTTCTGACCACTCTGTCTAGAGTCACAACATATCCACCCCCCTCCCCCCGTTATTTCTCTCCCTAGCACTTCTTACCACCTAAAGGACTGTATATTTTGCTTATTTATCTTGTTTGCTGTTTTTCTCCCACCAGTTTTAGTCACTGTTACAGCCCAGATGCATAGAACAGTGCCTGGCCTGTGGTAGGTGCTCAGGAAATACCTGTTACTGAGTGAATGGAAGGGGAGGAGGATTGATTATGTGGTATTTGATGCAAGGAGAAAATTCTGAAGTCAGTAAGTCTATTTGTGTACTTGTGTATGGACTGGATCTGTGGCTCCTTGATCCCGTGGGAGCAGATGTCATTGTCCAGGATCTCAGATTCCTAGTGGTAGCTTAGTGATAGAGAGTGTCTTCCATGCTCCAGACAGTCGGCCCCCTGCCCTCCTGGAGCTCACATTCTGTTAGGGGCTGGGAGGAGTTCTCAAAGAGATGCTATTGTCTGGATAGAGGAAGAGAGAGACAGAACACTGCCACTTACCTAGTACCTGTGCCAGGTTCCAGAAAAGGGGGTTATCTTCATCCCACTGCGGTCTTGATAGGTGGGTTTAAAATCCCAGTTTACAGATAAGGCCATTGAGGCCGAGAAAGGTTAAATGCCCAATATGAGATCTTTCGAGAAATGACACAGCCAGAATGATGCAAACCAAGTCTTTCTGACTCTACAAGCTGTTCAGCATGTGGTGTTGCCTCCTGGGACAAGAAGCTCACAGGAGTCAACTTCTAAACATTGCTTTATTCTTTGCAGAGTCGAGTGCACCGAAAATTTGCTGTAGAGGAGGGCGATCATCTGACCATGCTCAACGTGTATGAAGCCTTCATCAAAGTAAGCACGGCGCCGCTCCGGAGGCCCCTCCACACACCCGTCCACTAGCAGCGATCTAGGAGCGAGGATTCTGGAAGTTCATTCCATAAAATGGCCTGGAGACCTCTTTGTTTTCCTGTTCACTTATTGCTAGGGCTTCTAATCCATGGTGGTTTTCTGCTTTCCCCGGCCCAGAGGTGTGGGCCCCCGGCAGCGGCTGGCGCTCAGCTCTCCTCGGCCCGCTGTCTCCTCATTCTGTCTCATATCTGCCCAGTGTTCACACAGTGTTGCTGGACAGCACTGTCTGACAATTGGATAGGAAGTTCTGATATATTTTCTGCAAATAAATGAGGCTGAGAGTAACTTCCTTGAATCTTCAAAGCCGTCTTCATGCTCTTGAGGTTTCATATAGCCACCGCTCCTCCCACTCCAGACAGGCCCTGGGAAGACATTCAGGCGATGATTCGTGTATGTTCACGTGTCCTACCCACATTTAGCCATAGGTGATGTTCATTTTTATTGTTGTTAATAGTCTGTGAAACGAAGAGCAAATAATACAGCTTAAAGTCCTCACTAAAAATTGCTGAAAAGAGAGCTCTAAAGATGGTGGAAACAGTGCGAAAAGAAACTTCTTATATAAAGGAAAGGATGTAAGGGGGAAACGAGACATTTTCGATCTTCAGTATCTTGTATTCATTTCTCAAATAATTTCTTATAAGAGGAGAAATAACTAAGTTTTTGTGTTACCAGAGATTTGATGGGAGATTTAGTTAATGAACAGTTTTCAGGAAACCCCATCTCTTACTGAGATTATTAACTATGGGTTAAGTCAGTTAAAATTCATTTGTGCAAACACAGAGTACCATCTCCAGCCTGAAGCTTCCTCTGCCAGGAGAGAGCAGGCCCAGGGCTACAGTGTATTATTCTGTAGTTGCCATCTGAGAAAGTCCTCCTTGAATTATATTTTTATTTAAAACACTTTCCTCCCTGGCTTGTAATTTCAGAGGACAGCAATAATTTAAGACCTAATGATTGTAAATAGAACAAAATTAAGCACCGTTGATAGAAAAGTCATACTTTGGGGATATAGAATAGTAATTTGTAAATTATTTCTAAATTGGCAAGTGTCATATTCCTTGCCTGTAGTCAAATAAAGTGACGAACTCAAGCCTGCCGGGGAGGGCTAGTTGGTACACAGAGAGCTGCAGGGAAGTGGTTCTTGACAGTTCGCCACTCCCGTAGGTATTAAAGGTTGGAAACGACTCTGCTTGCTATTAAGTTCTCATCTGCCCTTGAGCTCAGAGAGTGAAGTCGGAGAGCAGTCAGGTGGCGAGTATTGTTGTCAACGTCTGTTTAGAGAGCTGCGGCCAAAAAGGGCCAGTTATGATCTGATGATCTTGTCCCACTGAGCGAGCAGATGGGGAAGAGACGTGAGTGATCTCAGTCAGGAACATTTCTGTGCTTTTCTCACTGTCCCTCTCTCTGGGTTGTCCTGCAGCACAATAAGAGCTCTCAGTGGTGTCAGGAGCATTTCCTGAATTACAAGGGTCTCGTCAGAGCTGCGACAGTGAGAGAGCAACTGAAAAAGCTACTCGTCAAGTTTCAAGTGCCCAAGAAATCTAGTGAAGGTAAGAGTGAACCGCCAGCGACACCCCCTCTGCCCCGTGTGGCCGCGTTCTGCGAGCTCGCATGTGGGCCGCCGTGTGCGGCCCAGTGAACCCTGGATCTACACCGGCCCCACAATTTGAATTGCCTGTGTTGGTGAAAAGTAGTATAGTTTTTCCCAAGGAGGTCTGTTTCTATTTCTGAGGACTATTCTTATTAAAAAAATTTAACAAGCCCTGACAACACTTAAAAATCATTAACATTCACATCATTGTACGTTACATGGTTAATCTTTCCATGTAGATTTTGCAAGAAAAATGTCTGTTAAGTGGGCGGTGTTTATGGCCATTTCACATAAATTGCATTTAATTTTCAAATACAGATATTACGAGAGCAAGTGCCGTGTGGTTAGCCTTCGCAGTCCCTGGGGTGAGACAGTGCTGGGTTAAGGCATGGTTTCTGGCCTCTGGCAGCAACAGCAATTACTGGTAATGGAGGACACACTAGGTTGCCCCACGGCAGGGCTTCCACAAATATTCTCTCCCTTAGTCTCCTACTCTGAGGCGTAGGCGATGTCATCCGCGTTTTACAGAGGACCTGTAAAATCCCAGGGAGAAGCTACTTTTAAGTTCAGGACAGCACAGCTGGTGACCGGCAAAGCCAGGTCTGTGTGGCTCAGACCCACATTTTGAGGAGGCGACACACCTGCTCGTTCACTCAGCAGTTGCCTTTGAACACCTCGTGTGTGCCGGGCACTCAGTCCCACTCTTGGCCTCACTCGTACTCGCTCACGTTCCTGAAGTGCGTGTCGCAGGCCTGGCAGTGTTGCTTTCCATACATGAATCCGTTTAATGCTCACGACCCTCCAGTGAAGTACATGCCGCTGTTATCCCCGTCCTATGGATGAGAAAAGTGCGCCGAGACACAGCGAGGAGCTCGCGGCTCGAAGGGCCCACAGTGAGTGTGCAGGGGAATCAGAGCTCAGGCAGTTTTTCTCCAGAGCTTTCCTGCAGAGAGACGACCACCACAACACAAGAGCATCCGTGTCTCAGAAGCTAGCAGAGTAGATGCTTTGGGAATCGGGACACCACAGTGGCAGCTGTAGTCAGTACGGGGGTGACAGAATCACACGGGGGCTGGCCTGGAGGGCACACAGCAGGCTCCGAGGGGTGGCAGAATCTAGTTGAGGGGAGAGGGCACGCTGGGCAGGGAGGACTGTGGAGACAAGTGCTGGGAGAGAGCTCGGAGCATATTAGATGCCCAGCGGGTGCTGATGAATGACTGAGCTCACAAGAGAGGGAGGAGTTGGAACCTGGGTGACCGGGCACAGTTGGTGTCATCGGTAGAAGGAGGAAGCTTGCAGGGACAGCTGATGGGGTAGAGGCTGATCTGGCACCCGTCGCCCAGCTGATGGATGACAGCCGTACGTCTTCATGTTCATTTCTTAACCTGCTTTTCATTGTCAACCCCTCGCCCAGGAGAAAAGTTACATTGAATTTAAATTCTTCCTCAAGAGAGAAATCAAGTACTAAGGAATAAGATTTTGAAAGGTAGGGTTGATCTTTGGAGGGTCATAGTCATTGTCATCTCTACCATTGCCCACTACCCCACCCTCAAGGGCCAGTTTTCACCCTTTTGGAAGTGGTTTCATCCGGATAAGAATGCACGTCCTCCATAGAAATTTCTTTTAGGTAGTTGGAGAGAGGGGACTGAATCTAGGATCAGATTGTGGTTAGAAAGGTAGATTTGAGATTTATCATTTCTGTGCTTAAGAGCAATAGAGAAAATCATGCAAACTCAATTACACGCAAATTTAAAACTTCTAGACGTTAAGGAAAAAGAAAGCAAACAGTTGAAAAATATTTTCAGCATACATAAGATAAAAATTTTAAAAACTTTAAAACTTTATTACAGAATGAGTTTAACATATTAGGGGAAAAAAATCCCACTAGTTTCCAAGTTGATAAATGGGCAAAGGAATGGAATGGAAAATTCACAAAAGAAGAAATACAGATAGTAATCAAATAAATGTACAGTAGAAGAGGGGGTACCCTTTGGCCAAAACATGGCTGGTAAGAATACAGTGAAACTGACATCCTCATGCGTTGTTGACGGCTTTGTGTAAATTATACCGCCTCGGGGGAACTTATTTACCAACATACTGCAGTTTGCTGGATCTAAGACACCATCATTTGTAAGGCACACATCATTTAGAGAAAAAAATACTGCCAGTTATAATTACAAAATGCTGTCCTAATTTCAGTGAGTTAAAGCATAAAAAAAGTGACAGTTTAGAATTCTCATCAGTTCTTAGAATTGATGAAATATGGTATGTCATAAGCCACAGATGATATTATCCTTTGGCTCAATAATGTGGATATATCCTGTGGAAATCATCCAATAAGTGGGCGGGCTTTATCTGTGGAAGATGTTTACTATAGCAACACAGATACCAATTAAAATGAGATGTTTGAAAAGTTTGAAGAATTACATACTGTAGCTTATAACCACAGAAATGATGTTGTAGTGTTAGTGTCCCAGTTTGTGCCTTATGGATGGAACATCATTCCTGCAAAATGCTCTCCTAAAAAGGACTTCCCAGGGTCACTGGGAGCCTGTGAGGTGCTCTGTAGGTTCTAGTGCCCAGCCTTGGTCTGGTCATCTGTGGTCCAGGGGGGATTGGGGGTCCCAGCTTAAGGGAACAGCCCAGCATGTTTCCCTCAGCAGCCATTGTGAGGGTGGGGACCTCCACAGATGGCGCCAGGGCAGGCCTCCAGCACCGGGAAGCGTGGGGCTGGGACCTGTTCAGGAGATGGTTGCAAGGTGGCTCGAAGCAGCCTGGGGTGGGCCTCACAGCACAGGCCTGAGCACGCAGAGCATGGGGCAGGCGAGGTCTCATCCATCACTCTGTTTGCTCCCTTGTGCAGGTGATCCAGATCCGGTCCTGAGGTGCATTGTTTCCGGATTCTTTGCCAATGCAGCAAGGTTTCACTCTACTGGAGCTTATAGGTAACATAATACTTCGGAAGTTATTTAAGTCATGGAAATCTTAAAAATGATCCAAACCCCAGAGCAAGTGGATGTGGAGGGAAAGTAGAAAGAGATTAAGCAATTTAAAAAAATTGTCAAGCCTCCTTCTAAAGGTGCATTGAGGTTAGCTGTATAGCTTTAAGTGAAATAACTTATGGAAATGATTCTCAAATGTTCAGCTGTCCACATGTTGTAGAAGGATGACAATTAAAAGTCTGGAGGCTGGTGATGTTTCTAGTCTAATAGAATAATAGGACTGAAAGGAACCATTAAAGGTGATCTTTCCTAGAGAAGTCCCCTTTGCCGTTGGGAAAGTTCACATTGTTTGTAGAGATCTATAGAACTGAAGCCGCCACCTACCCTGACGCATTTTGGCCACATTGAATGTTGGCAGGTGCTTCTTTGAGCTGGCTGTCCTTCCTCCTGCTACAGATTACAGCCTGTCTCCTCCAGCTGCATTTTCTAGGCACAGAAACATCACTGACCCTTGATGCTCTCTGAGAACCTTTAGTGTATTCAAATACGGTAAAAGCTAATACAGAGTTCAGCCCTTTTCTTCCCAAATGGAATCATTCCAGTTCTTTGAGTTGTGACCTTTGGTCTGTCGTTTCTGTTTCTGAGCTCATCTAAGTCTCAGAACTTCCCTGCAGCCAGTTAGCGTGCGGTGATGACAGCAGGCCCTTCTTCAGTCAGGAGCCCTCAGGAGGCTCTCTCCCCAGCTTCTCTTTGCATTTCCTCCATATACTGTCATTAGCTTTTCCCCCTCAGAAAATGTTACAGTCCTGTGATCCTGAGGTCGTTGTGATGTCCCTTGTCCTGGACACTGGGCTTTGTTAATGAGCCCAGAGTTGCACTGAGCTTTTTTGTGGTTTTTTTTGGCAGCCAGGTCTCCTCCATGTAGTATCCTAGTAGCTGACTGTCTGAGCCAATGGACAGCACTTTACGTTTATCTCCAGTGTGGGCTGTGTCACTCCAGGCCAGTAGTCTGTCCTGTCAGCAGCATGTCTGTTGCCCATCGTATGCACTCCCCCTCCCGACACCGAGTTGTCCCTGTTTGCGGCAGCTCTGGGGAGGCCCGTGAGCTTCTCCAGTGAGCACCGTTATTTTGTCGTCATTTTGATTGCCCCACTCTCCTCAAGAGTATTAATTAGCAATTTTTACTAGCATTTACAAAATCCTTTCACCAGTGTCCTCAGCAGAAATACAGGCTACGTAAACAGGCTTTGTGATGGTCGGTCCTTTGCAGACCAAGTTCAGTGTCAGTTGCCCGGTAGGACAGCCAGGACCCCGGCCGTGGAGAGGAGCTGGGTCATGGCATTTGAACACATGCGGAAACACTCTAATTATGGTTTGGGCAGCAGCATCCTAGTCTGTTATTGTTCTCTTGTGAGCTGATCTTACCAGTAGTCTTGTGTTCAGTACATTTTTTTTTATTAAATTGCATCAGATCTGAGTTGGAATTTGAAATACTATCTGAGAGAAATGGATGGTCCAGTGTTGAGCTTTCTCTTTCTCCCGTTATCATCTCCCCCATAGTCTTTATCTTTACTATTTAACTTTGTTTAATAGAAAAGATTATAGAAATAATCATATTTCTGTCCCCAAAGAAATTTTTGAAAAAGAACCCACAGAAGATAAACATAAACATAGGGTGGAGCAATATATTCTAAATCGTTGTTTTTGAATGTCCACATGTTGCTTTTCTTCTGCCTTTTTTGCACAACTTATTCCTGACTTTTGGGGCGGCCGCGGGGGAGGGGTCACAAAGGGCCCAGGAGACGCCGGAGAGGAGAGTGTGTGTGTGTGTGTGTGTGAAGTGCAGCCTGCGTGCACTGTCGTGACGGCACACACGTCTGGGGGAAGGTCTCACTCTGAGTGCTTAAAGTGTACTTGAGGCAGAATTGTTCTGTGCCCCAAGGACCATCCGTGACGATCATGAGTTGCACATCCACCCTGCGTCGGTCCTCTATGCAGAGAAGCCGCCTCGCTGGTAAGCCCCCTCCTGCGTCTTAGCCTTGTAAGTGCGCTGAAGGCGAGGCCTAGGTCCTGGTCTCCGCGGGGCCCCCCCGCGCCCAGCACAGCGCCTGGAGTACCAGTGCCTGGGGCACCTTTGTTGACTTTTGTTCTGAGTCAGCTACAGAATCTCTGCTCTATCAACGATCTCCAAGCGAACGGTGTTACTCCTCTGTTCACTCATCCACTGAGCCGACATTCACATTCACCCTCGGACTAGATGCTGCATCCTTGTGCCGGGCACAGCTCTGCAGGGATGAATTCAGGTCCCAGCCCGCAGCCGGACAGAGGGACACAGATTCCAGTACCTGGGGAGAAAGGCTTTCACAGAAGAGTGTAGCTGGTAGATGGCTGTGGATGGCACTTTCTGTGCCAGGGAGAGCCGGGGCTGGCTTCAGGGAGGAGGCTATACTGGCTCTGGAAGCTGACACCGGTATCTAATATGTGCACTCCATAAATGTGGGGATTTAAATTATCTCCTTGGCTTTTTGGTGTCTTTTACCTCAGCCTCAGGCATGCTTCTTTTTTTTTTTTTTTTAAATAGAAGGATACTTTATATAGGTTGGAAGAGTTTGACAACTGTGTGCATCCATGTAACCAATACTCCAGTAAGATATAGAATATTTTCATCTCTCTAGAAAGTGCCCTTGTGTCTCTTTACAGTTAATTCCCAGCTCCTTTCAGAATCAGTAAGCCTTTGCTTTTATGTCTGCATTTCCTAATAAAGTCATTAGGCTCCATTCCGAGTCCTGTAAATACAAGCACAAGGATCCAGAAGGCCCTGTCCTGATAACTGAGATGTTCTGGAAATCACGTAGGACTTAGTGTCACCTGTAAAATGGACACACTGTTACCTACCACTCAGATCACGAGGCTTATGTGAGCAACATGAACGCGTATGTTTAGGGTAGTGCCTGGCACACAGAACAGGTGCCCGTTACAGGTAAAGGGGAGAGAATCTTGTCAGCTCTAATTGTTGTGGTTCTGAGTCTCATCCTAAGAGAAAGGAAACTAGCTTGTGTTCTCGTCTTGTTTCAGGGTCATCTACAATGAAGTTATACAGACCTCCAAGTATTACATGAGGGACGTGACTGCTATTGAATCGGCTTGGCTGTTGGAGCTGGCTCCGCACTTTTATCAACAAGGGACAGTAAGTTCCTTATCAAGAGGTGGTGCTGTTTGTTTCCTATTCGTCTGATTTAGTTTTTGTTGGTTTTTTTTTCTTTTTTTACTGCCTGTTCTTAAGATTTTTTCCTTTATTTGTTGTTTTTTAGCATTTTGAATTATGCTGTGCTTTTCTTTGTGTTTTTTCTGCCTGGGTTCATTGAGCTTGTTGAATCTGTGGACTTTCTTTTGACCACATTTGGAAAATTTGCGACTGTTATTCGTTAAAATATTTTTTCTGATCCCAGTATCCTTCTCTGCTCTCCTTCTGGAATTCCAGTTATGTACGTATTAGAGCACTTGATATTGTCCCACACGTCACTGAGGCTCCGATCTCTTTTTTCCCTCTTGACCTGTCTTCTTGTTTAGCAGTCAGTACATCTGCAGTGTCCACGCTTTTGTTAAGCCCTTATAGAAAATATTTCATTTCAGATATTATATTTTCCATTTTAAAATTTTCATTTGATCTCTAAGTTTTTATTTCTCTGTTTAGAGTTTCCATGTGTTCACTCAATATATTCATCTTTTTCTTTAAGTCTTTGAACATATTTATATAGCTGTTTGAAAGAGCATGTCATGCCCATTAATACAACATCTTTGCCACCTCTAGTCTGTTTTGTTTTTAGACTGTTTTCCCGCCTCGTTCCGGGTCACATTTTCCTGCTTCTGTTGTGTGGTGGTTTGTTGATGTGCGCTGGACGTTATTAGGTACTTTGTTGTGAAAAGTTGATTTTGTCGTCTTTGAAGAATATTGAAAATTTTTTTCTGGTAAACAGTTCAATTCCACCGAGACCTGATTTCACTCTTCATGGGGCAGGTCTTGAGGAGCCCTGCTCCTAAGACACGGGCTTTTTCATGTTACAGCCTAAAGTCTGGGATGTTTAGTGAGGTCTTTGCGCTCTGCTTGGTCAAAACCCCAGCGTCTCCAGCACTGTTCACACCTTCCGAATCCCCCTGTCAGGCACAGCCCTCCGGTATGTCTTCTCTGCCAGCCGTTTGGAATCTTGGCCTGCGCGTGCGCAGCTCAGCATTCAGCCCGTGTCGCTTCCTGGGGCTCCTCCTTTCTGATGCCCTGTCCTGCATACTCCAGCTGGCCCGGCAGCTCTGAGCTCTGACCTGTGTTTCCTCTGCCCAGTGATACTGTTGTTCTCTGTATAGGATTTGCTTCCCTGTGACAAGGTTTGGAGAGCTGTGCAGAGCCCTGGGATGAATATAAAGCTCCCCTTGAGTGTGTCCTTTTTCTCAGGGATTACAGCCCCGTGCTGTCATTATGTAGACCCTTGGAGAACAGAATTACCCTAGATGTGGAGGCATTTTCCATTCTCAGCTCAGAATGACATTTTCTCTACATCAAACCCACAAAGTTAAAGAACACATAGCCCTAGAATTTTGAAGAAAAAAAAAAGATAATTCCAAATGTCTGCATTTGCCTCTTTTCTCCAAATGCCTGTTTTTCAGCTCAGCAGCTCCACTCTGATGACTGCCTGTGATCAGAGTAGTTTCAGAGAAGCCGGGACCTCAGAAATCACCTAATTCAACAGCCTCACTGTACAGCCAAGGGCCTTAAACCCTGTGCCCTGTGCCTCCCACCCACCCTGGCCTGGAGAAACTTGGCCCCTCCTTAACTAAGCAGCCCAAAGGCGCGTCTATGAACTTGTCCAAAATGGGTTGATTTCACCAAGAGCCCTGCGGATCTCCAGTGGCTGCCCGTGGGTGGTAGACGGCCCTTTGTTGAACACAGTGTAGCACCTCGCGACCGTCCACAGCCCACAGATCACCCCCGGCTCTGTTCCTGGCACCTTTGGTGACTTTCCATTACCACTGTTTTTCAGAGAGTTGCTCTCACCCTGTAAAGAGGCCTGAAAAAAATCCAGAGTTAGCTTTGTTTATACCCAACATTCTCCTCAGAAATGAGCACCAAAAATGGTCCCACGGGCACGATGACCTCACCCCTGTTCCCCAGCTAAGGCTCTGAGTGCCTCCCGTTACTCAGAGGGGTCACGTCAGGTGAAGAGGGGGGAGGAGAGAATTTGGAGAACTCCAGCCAGACCCGCCGCTGGAAAGAGGAAGCACGGGGGACCCATTCAGAGGTTTGCCTTGCAAGTCCTTAAGATTTTTTCTCCTCATGCTGAGATACCTTTGGAATCTAGGGAAATGTTAACCAGGGCCTCGGCAAGAATCTATACTGGTCCTTTCTCAGGCCTGAGTGGATAGAAAGTATGACTTCGGGCAGCTCGTCCAGACGTGTGTCCCGCTCACTCAGTTCCTTCCCGCCACGCCTGGTGGCGCGTTGCGTCGTCTTTGGCGCCTGGAATTCTTTCAGGGCCTGCAGTTCTCTGTCAGCGATCGGATGGTTGTCTTGAGGCCACTGTAGGTGTGCTAAGAAATGGGGTTTGGGCTGTGAGCATGCCGGGGGCTGGGGGTTCCTCGTGTGAAGATCCCGCTGCGTGTTAGGGCGGCACGCCCGGGCAAGCGCCTGCTCGTTGGCTTCTGATTATTAAGGGGTACCGAGGATACCTCAGTTGTGAGCAGAGGTCCTTTGTTAAAGCCACTTCCTTTGTGGGTCCCTTGGGCTCTTTTCCTCCAAACTCTTGCCTGAGGGGCAGGGCATTTACTGAGACGGCGTGGACCAGGTGGAAGCGTTGATGTGGTCACTTACATGGGAATTACACGGAGGTCCACTTTCTCTGTCTAGCCACGCCCCACGATGATGTTTTTCTCTTCTCCTGCAGCACCTGTCCCTCAAAGCCAAGAGGGCCAAGGTCCAGGACCAGTGAGCAGAGCTGGGCTGCGGCCGCAGGTACGGCTTGCTACTATCCTCTCCTCCACGCGGCCACGCCCGCCCAGGGTGGGTGAGCCGGCGTCGGCTCGTGTGGAATCTTCAGCTGTTCCGCAGCCCATTCGAAGCCCCTGCCCGCCCAGTCCCCTCAGCATCCGCCTCCCTCGCTGGGGTCCCAGAGGAGTTTGTGCCTGGACGGGCGTCCCGCCATGTGGGAGTTGGAAGGGCCATGCTCCTGGCTCACCCAGCACCCTCCCTGACCTGGCATGCCACTTCCAGCAGGCCCGTCCTGGCCCAGTTCACAGCAGGCCACTGCAGCTGAAGCACCAGGCTGGGTGGGCCGAGGGCTTGCTGGGCTGGCTTTGCTTTCCCCGTGGGGCCGCGGCTCTGTTGACCAGTGAGATGTGTGGCCACGTGCGAGCAGAGTGTACCCGCGAAGGTCTGAGACCCTGAAACACTGTGGATTTCCGCCAGCATCACCGAGGGTCATGCCTGCTGGGCACAGGGCTTCCCAAACCAGGCAGCTTCTGTTTTCCCTCTGCCTGTGTCCCTGTTTGTTGGCAGCCAGGAGACTTGCAAGGATTGGTGACTGACGGAGAGGACCCGGTGTGCTGTGCTGTGTGCTCTGTGCACAGGGTCCGTCTCTCTGTTTCACAAGTGGGCTCCGCTTCCCCTCCGCATACGATCCCATGTCCTGATGCCACTAGTGAGTGTTCATCAGCTCAGACCCCATCCGGGAGCCTCTGTAGCAGAAATTCACCGTTGAGAGGCTCTAGACTTCTGTAGCTCAGGAACGTAACTCGTACGTTTGTTTTTTGTGTGCCCGGTTCTGGCGAGAACGCGGGGACGGGGCGGGGGCTCCCCCATCAGGCGCTGGTCTCACCAGCGCCCCCAGTGCTGCTTTGCTGTGATGACATTTGCATTTCAACACGTGACCGATACAGATTGTTTCCTCTTAACTGTTTCAATGATGTTTATCTTAAAAACACGTAGCTTGAGAATTTATTTTTGTACTGATATTCGTTTGGATGCGCCACTTTTGGCACCAAACGTGTGTCATTTTTATTTCTGTTTTATAAACATGTAAATAATAGTGATAACTTGTTAATAATATAAACCTTTATACCTAAAGTAAACGTATTCCCTCCCACCCATGGTTCTCGTGGTCTGTATTTTAAGATGGTCCAATTAATTCTTCCAATGATGCTTGGCATACAGCAGCTTTGGGGGTCACATGGACATGGGAGGCCCCATACAGCAAGATCATGTGACCAAATGGCCTCCAGACCTTATTGGGGGGCAGGGGGTGGGTATAGATGTAGCTCAGTGGTAGAGCATATGCTTAGTGTGCATGAGGTCCTGGGTTCAATCCCCAGTACCTCCATTAAAACAAACCAAAAAAAAAAAAGACTACTAGAGCAAACAAGGGATGCTGTTTAAACGAAGTCCCAAAGAAGTGCCAGTTCTCGCCAGTTTCCAACTGGCATTCTTGTGAAGAAAGATCAGAAATACTTTTTTTTATAATTTAGGGCCGGGGCTGGTCCCAGTGAGCTTCTGTTGGGATGCAAGGAGGAGGTGGTGCAGGATCCTCACCTCTGGCTGAAACTGCAGAGCAAAAACAGGAGATGAAACAGTCGGGGGTGCAGCCTGGAGCCAGCACGTGTCACTGGCCACCTCTTCCAGCACGTCTGGGCCGCAGGACCTGTGCCCCTTAGGCAGCCCCCACCAGGCAGGCCTCCGAGCTTCCTACCCCACGTTACATCGCAGCCCATGGCGTATGGAGGGGAATCTCCACGGTCAGGCTTGCAGCCGCACAGTCATGGCTTGGCCGAGGGGCCCTTCCATGTGTGTCTGAAGAACCAGATGACCTCAGCAGGAGCCATGACCCGGCCTGGCTGAGAGAGACTGGCAGGGCCTCACAAGACCTTGTCCCCAAGCAGTTCCACAGGAACGAGTCCCCTCAAACTCCACCTGGGTTTTCAAATATCAAATTTCCACAGCGTTGCCGTGTCTCCCTGACACTGAGCCAAGTGCTCAGCGCAGACGTGGAGGGGCGTCTGCGCTGGGAAACGGGGTGGAGGTGGCGGTGAGTGGTGGTGTCCTGTGGGCCCGGAGCGGGCGCTTTGTGTGCCTATGGCTCCCACCCTGCCGGTTCTGCCCTGGAGCTGGTCTCCCTGCAGGCCAGACGACGCCATCACAAGCAGTCCCTGGTCCAGCCAGTGCTCCCGCCGGTCTGAGTCCAGTCAGCAGGTGTGGGCTGAGCACCTGGGCCGCATGCATGGCGTGGAGGTGGGTGGAGATGTTTGATGATGGGTGACCAGGTGAGTGGAACCGCACGGAGGCAGGGGACAAGAATGACAGTGAGAGAGACTGCAGAGGCCACGGCGGGCGGTAGTTAGAGGCCAGGCAACATCCAAAAGAAGCTCCCTGATAGACCCTTTTCTTGTGAACATCCATTACAGATCGTGCTGACGTCCCACTGCCCTGTCCCCTCCCAGCTGAGCCTTTCACTTTAGCTGTGAATGTGGAGTGTCGCCCAGTCCCCCAGCTCCATGTTCTGGCGTCGGCATCAGCACAGCCGGCGACCAGGGCTGCTTTCTCTTGGTGGCCTAGGTGCTGCCCCTCAGTCCTGGGTCCCCTGCCTTCTGTCCCTGTTCTCAGCTCCACTTTGTAGGACCCCGGGCTGATGGCTTCTGGTTTCATAGGGTTGGGAGGTGAGGGGCACGAGGCTGAGATGCCTCAATTCAGATGACCATGGGACCCTATCCTGGACCAGATCTCTGGTGGTGGGACCTGGGAAAGCTCCAGCCCAGATGATTCTAATGATGTAGTGATTTGGGAACCAGTGGTAAAGGAGACAGGTCATAAGGACATCAAACCCAGGGAGGGAGGTGTGTCATCAGCTGGGCGGTCAAGAGGAGCATCAGATGTGAGTGACAGTTTTTATACAGTTGTACTCTTATCACGTACCTGGATCCCACCCTGAGTCCACTGGCCCGTTCCCCCAAAGCACTGTGGTCGGTGGGGTTCGAATTCAACTCTGGGCGGGTCACCAGTGTCAGCCCACCAAGAGTTTTCCTGACTGCCCTCCTCAAATGAGGAACATATAATAATTAGCATTTTGTAAAGCTTAAAGTTATTCTGTATAAAAGATCACCCCATCCTTTAGCAATTTTTTTCTTTTGTGCTAAAATGTTCTTTCCTTTTGAAAACGATGGTGATGTTATTGGTAGTTTAAAAAAAAAGTTTTCCTTAGAAAAATAAAATATCAGCAATCTTACATCAGTCTTCCAATTAAGAACCAATTTAAAACAAGGCCAAAAACTGGTTAATGAGATCCCCAAGTCTGGGAACCACTGGGTTGTGGGCCAGCTGGCAACATCTGCACCGAGCATCATAGCTGTGGGGAGACGGAGCCGCCCTGCCAAGCAACTGAATTGCAAGCAAACTTCTGGAGCAGCAGGAGGACTCCCTGTCTTTACACAACTGGAAGGACTCAAGTTAGCAGGACTCAGCCCCCAGATCCCTTACCTCACCTTTAGATAAGATCAGATCTTTTCCACTCTCCAATGACTCATCAGGATTTTTTGTCCACCTTCCAACATGTGCTGAAACAGGATGCTGGAACTCTGGATTTCTTGTCTGTTTAATCTATTTCTTTTCTGCACCTGGCACTGGAAATAGCCAAGCCAATCATTTCACACACAGCTGGCCACTCGGGGGAAAGTAGCCAGTCTGCATGGTAGGTGTCCTGGAGACGGCTTGTCCTGGGGTCCTCCCGGTCACTGCTCTGCCTGGCGATCCAGGGGGATGTTCTGGCACCTCCGGTGAATCACAGAGATGCTGCCTTCAGCATTCTTGGAGGTACTGAGCTTGTTCAAACAGGCTGCGTCCTTGCCTGTCAGAGAGATTCCCAGGGCATCACTTTCCCTGGTCCTGCGGCGTATGTGGCCTCGGCCTTGGCCTCTTGTGTGGGTTCTGCTAAAGGCAGTGAGTGAGCCAGCGAGGCTGGAAGGTCCACGAGAGAGTTGGTGGACTGGTGAGAGGCCCAGTGGGGATGCCCCAGAATCTCCATAGCCAGGTGAAGGCCCACCAGGGGCCGCTGCCCTCAGCTTGTGTGTTGACCATGGCCTGGGCAGAAGCTCTGAATACGAAGGTCCTGGCCAGGCTCTTCCCTGCCCCGGACTGATGGGGCGGAACCGTCACCAGATCCGAAGTAGCCCAGGCTCCCTGCCTCTGGCCCATGGCATCTGGACCCCAGGGACCCTGAGAGCAGGACTTGGCTGGTCAGGACTTAGCAGTTTGCCTTCAGTTGGTTCCTTTGAGCCTTTTCCTCTCCATTTCCACTTGCTTTGTTTTTGGTTTTGAAGTGCACTTGGGTTTGCTTCGTACCTGCTGCCACTGTGTTTACTCTTAGCTCTTATTTGTTCATTTGTTTCCACGTGTGCGTTTGCTTTGTCCCTTTAACTTATCTCTCTGGCTTCTGCATTATTTCTTTTTTGTACCATGAAGTTTAAAAAAGAACAAGGTGTGATTTGCCTCATGTTGATACTCTTTTAAAAAGTATTTTTACCTTCACGTTTTATTCTAACTTCTTGGTCTTCTTTAAACTCTACTTACTTGTTTTTAACTTTTGTTTTATACTTTAGGTACAAAGAAAAACTTCATTCAATTTTCTGGTTTTTAAAGAAATTAAAAAAAATTTTTAACGGGGGGAGGTAATTCAGTTTGTTTGTTTATTTATTCATTTATTTATTTTAGTGGAGGCACTGGGGATTGAACCCAGGACCTCATGCATGCTAAGCATGCACTTTACCACTGAGCTATACCCTCCACCTGCCTCAACTTTTTGTTTTTATTCTGTAAATATTTTCTTTTGTGTGTTTTATTTTCTGATTTTAATCTGTTAATGTTAAACTCACCTGAACAATTTACTACTCATTTCATTTTACTTCAGTTATTCCTTTCTCTTATATCTTAGTTTGCTTAATTTGTTTCCGTGCCTGGCAAAAGGCCTAACTGTAGGTGTGAGAGCAGAAGGGAAGATGTTTATAATCGCTGAAACTAACAAGGGATTATGTATCAAGAACAGACCAGGAGCTCCTATGAACCAATAATAAGGATGGCCCGACAGAAAAAAAATGGGTACAGGGAGCGAGCAGTTTATAGAACCGACCCCAGAGTCTACCAAGCCTGTGGAAGCAGTTCAAATCAACGATCAAGCAGTAATTCAACATCACTTTGCACCCATCAGATTAGCACAAATTGCAAAGATGGGTAATGCCAAGTGTTGGCAGAGACATGGGGACCTCGGTGCACTGATGCAGAGAGCCACCTGGCACAACTCATCAAATGAAGTATGTGTATGCCCCCCAGTCTGGAAATTCCATGTCTGTGTAAATGTTCCCAACAAAAGTCTCACCTGGGTTTGTAAGGAGACGTGTATAAGGATGCTCACCCAGTGTGATTGTGGTTGGGAGGGCAGTAGTGGTGGAGTCAGGGGTGGAGGAATATCCATCCCCAGGGGAATGTGCAGGGAAGATTCAGGAGATGACACCACTCAGCCATGGAGTACTACAGAGCAGTTTCAAGCCACAGACAAAGTATAACACAGACCTTCAATATAGCTGAGCAAGAAGAGAATCAGTGAGATGTGACAATTCCATCCACAGACACTAAAAATACATTCACACAAAAAGCAATAGAGAGAATCTCATCAAGATGGCGGAGTAATAGGACCACGAGCTCGCCTCCTCCCATGAACACAACAAAACCACAACTGACTGCTGAACAACCACCGATAAGAAAGAATGGAACCTACCAAAAAACCTTCAACTGGAGACATAAAGAGGGAACCACGGCGGGATGGTAGGAGGGGCTCACGCCTGATATAATTGGGTCCCATACCCCCTGGGTGGGCGAACCACAAGCTGGAGAATAATTACACTGCAGGAGTGAGAGGTCTGAGCCCACGTCGGGCTCCCCAGCCTGAGGTCTGGTCTGGCGTCAGGAGGAGCCCCCAGAACACCTGGCTTTGAAAGCCAGTGGGGCTAATTGCAGGAGCTCCACAGGACCGGGGGAAACAGACTTCACTCTTAAACAGTGCGCACAGGATGTCACGTGCGCTGGGACCAAGGGCGGAAGTAGTGATTTC